TAGTTTAGATACCCTTCACTCCTGTTGCTTACAAATGTTGAATTGTAGGATTACCAAAGGCGAAGGCCCGAAGGGTACCTGAATCAGAAACAAAAAAGAGAAGAAGAAGATAAAGAAGAAGAAGCAGAACAGCCACAAAGTACTTGACTGCGAGCATTTTCAGAGGTATCATCACCCACTCCATTCAGGTACCTTTCTTCTTTCTCTTCTTCTTCTTCTTCTTCTTCTTCTTCTTCTTCTTCTCTGTCGATCTTAAGACCCAAGAACATAGCCCGGGGTAGCTAGTGTGAGATAAAGAATATTGAGAGAATAATATAGCACAGTAGATTCAGTTGTCCCCAGTGTCTGCAATTGGGTGGCCGTGGCTGCAACCCGCCCGGCCCAGCTGCAGCCGACAGGTGCGGTCCAGGGGCAGTTTTGGAACATGCAGGCCCAACTGGGTTTCAGCCAGGTGGTGGCATGGCCCGGCTGCGGGCCACAGCTGGCCGCAAAATTAGTCAGGTCAGCCGAACAGGCCTGTATATATAGAGATAGATAGATAGGTTTACATATATATATTGATACATAGATAGATTTATATGTATATAAATCAGCCCCTCGTTTGTTGTCATCTTCTCCCTCTCTGCCTACGGTTTACCGGGCAGTTCTGTTTGACGATATATATATATATATATATGCACGAGTTTAGGGCTGGAGCACGTAGGTCCAACTTTGCCTCCCGACCGTTAGCCCTGCGTCGCAGCCCCACCCAAGGCTGAATGACAAACATGAAATGTTGTATGAAAAACATGCATGAGGGGAGGAAAGGAAAGCAGAAGGGCCCTATAGGGTAAGAACGGGTACAACAAGAGGGAGATATTCATAGTAATAAAGACCTCTTATTAGAAGATGCAACCAGGAAGAGGACAGGAGACAAGCGGCCTGAGAGACTCCTAGGAGCCCCCCCCCCCACCCCGCCCCGCCCCCGAGACCTTTCTGCACCATGACCGGATTCTGCTAGGAAGCTTCCTGGCCAGCAGAAGTAACCCCGGGGAGGCCATGGTTTGAGGGATGGGATTGTCCGTAGCAGGCCCCCCCTTGACAGGAGAGTAGTACCGAAGGGTTGGCTGACCCTTTTTCTACATCTTTTCTGTGCTTGAACTCATGCGTGCCGGCGATAAGCAACCGGACTGATGACCCCCAGAATAAAAGGGGCTTTGTGTTTTGTTACCAAAAAAAAAAAGAAAAAAAAAAGTCAGGAACACAAAGAACTTAAACAAAACAGTGTCAATGTATCTGAACCGCATGAAGGGTCTGTGCATTCATTTTCGGAACACCTGCGGCAGCAACATGCTGGAGTTTGTCACTTAATTTCCCTGGGGCAGGAAATGACCTTGGGGCAGCGGGCAGCTACGTGTGTGTGGGTGCGAAACGTCCTTGGGGCAGATAGCAGGCAAACTTCAAAATTGTGAAGCCCCTAAGGTCACTAAGCTGGCGGGTGGCAAACTGGCAGGACAGGAACGGTGGGTTCATCCTCAGGGAGAGAGAGAGGGGGAGGGGGTGTACCACGCTGGTGCGCGAATTGCTTCTAAATAACGATGTTCATTTGAATTTTCAGTTCAAAAAGAAAACAAAACAAAAAAAGAAAAAATGTACCCGGGCAGAGCAGAAGATCATTGCCACTGGCTGCAGAGAGGCCTACAACTTTATTTTAGAGTGGGCGGCCAGAATGGCATTAAATTGGGTCCTGGTGCGGCTGGCTGCAGTTGGGCAATTTTTCAGGTTTCAGGCCGGGTCAGTTGCAGTTTGGAAAATCTGCAAAAACCAGCTATCCAGTTTGGACAGCTGGCCAAAAAATCTGTTTGCAGTTGGGGCTGGGTACAATCGTAGGTTTTTTTGCAGACCAGATTTGGGTCAGATGCAGTTTGCAACATACACACAGATTGCGAGCACTGGTTGTCCCCCATATGCGGAGAAGGCAGCTCACTTTTTTTTTGGAATAAAAAGAAGAAGAAGAAGAAGCAGAGGAAGAAGAAGAGGAAGAAGATGAAGAAGACGAAGAAGAAGGGTGCCTGAATGGAGTGGGTGATGATGCCTCTGAAAATGCTCGCAGTCAAGTACTTTGTGGTTGTCGTCTCTGGTCCTTTTGTGTGTAGGCCAGTTGGAAATAATGACGCGTATTTGATGCAGTTCAACAACAAAATCAGCTGTCAAGTTCAAACTCCGAAACGAAATCCCCTTTTGCGGTGGGAGAGATCAGTAGAGTAAAACTCAAGCAACATAGCAAGCCATGTGATAAACACATTAGGCCAAAGCAACGGGAGAGAGGGAGAGAAGGAATAATAATAATAATAATAATAATAAGAAGAAGAAGAAGAAGAAGAAGAAGAAGAAGAAAGAAAAAGAAAGGTAGACAGAAGAGACGAAGAGTTTTACCGTAATCCCCCGAGCGCATCAGCTCGAAAAATCTTCAATAATAGCCGACAGGTACGAAAGCGGCGAAAGAACAGACTGGCGATTACCCTACACGTGTTTCGGCGGGTCCATTACCCTACACGTGTTTCGGTCGGTCCGCCACTGTACCGGCCATCTTGAGGGGTAGCGCTGGATGACAGAATCAAAGACACAACATACCTATATAATTCTAGCTACCGCTTAGCCCTAGTGAAAAAAGAGACCCAACTGGGGCCAAAGACCGAAATAGGAACCGAGTAGAAACCAAAGGACCCAACAACAGGGTCAGGAAGGGCCAGGGCCCTAGACAGCCAAGAATAAATCACCCGCCTAACTCAACGGGCCCAGTTCGTGAAACAACGGACCAATGGGTCCAGGCCCCTCCAATTTTAATGTTAAAAAACGTAAGTGCCTTATCAAACATAACATCTGGAAAAATCCTCCTACGCAGCTCAATCTTTAAACTGAACAAGTAAGCGGCCTCTGTAGCGGGAAGTGGGCCCATGTCATAGGCTTTATGAAAGAAGGAAGTTAGCACCCCAGCTTTCTGCTTTTTACTACAAAACAAATTTAAATTCTGCAAATTGCAAAAAATAATATCCCCCCCATGTAAGATAACTTCTTGATTCTTGTGTAAAGCTTGACAGTAGACCTTAGCCGGTTGCACCCCTACCAATAGACGACAACCCAAATATGGCCAATCTAAACCATCACTGGTGGTTTCTAACACCAAATGCTCGTCGTAACAAGAGGTTTTGAACTTTCGAAGCATCATCTGCGCATTATCCATAGAAGCATGGTCATTCGCCTTATATCTAATGAAAACGGGCACATCATCAATGAGTCTACAGCCCCTAACCAAACGAGCGCCATTCCCTAGACTACGAAGAAAAGTGAATTCATTGTGGACACACATGAGACAAGCAAGTGCTGGGCTTGACGATTTGCCCATCGGGATTCCTAGATTTTGCTTGACCAACGATCGCATAGCCACGGTATAAGTGTGCGACAAATCATAAGCAACATATTTGATCAGCAAGGAGAATTTGATAGACTTAAAACCAACCTCGCTTACAGCAACTTTACTTAACCTAATCTGTTTTTTGCGACCTTGAATCAAGCACTTGTAAAACCCTTTCTCCTCAAAAAGACTTACCGCCCATTCCATCGCTCTCAAAATCGAATATCTCCTTTACGTCAAAATTTCTCATCTTCCTCTTCAGTCACAACCTGCATACCTGGGTTGTTTATGAACAATTTTATCAACCCTTGAGCATATACAATGGGACAGCAGGCATAGGTATCCCCTGCATTGTGATCCAACGGACAAAGAACAAGACCCTCAAATCGTTTTTTACACCGAACCACCTCGTCTTCCACAATGTAGTTACAGCCTCCATCAGTTTGAGAAAAACATCCAGAAAAAAGTGATGGAGAGACATCGACATCCTTACCAATGAATTTGGACAGAGTTGAACTAACCTGGTCACATAGCTGGACCCTGCCATATGAATAATTCGGGGAGGTAATATCCTTGGGGTTATCCAGAGAGGAGGGAAGAAAATCTACTTGGCTGAAACGAAAAGCCACGTGGCCATCCTTGCGCGGAAAAATTTCCTCAACTCCCACACATGAACAGACAGGATCCAAAAAGGCATAATATTTACGAAAGTTATGGATTAAATCTCCGACACTACGATTTTTTGTCCATACTAGCCTAAAACGGCGGTAAGCAAGCTCCCGATATGTCAAGGGTAGATCCATACCAGAAACAATGCGCTTACATACATCTCGTAGCCTATCCTTAACTAAAGTATTATCGAACCTGATTCTTATAACTAATCTAGCCGAAAGGGACAGCGAGATTTTTTGTCGACAGGCATTGGATAGGATTGACCTAAGCCTGGTACGTGATCGTTTACAAGAGACCGTTCTTGTGGCATCGTACAGTTTAACGAGATCATCGAGGTTGAAGTTGAGAAGATCCTTCCTGGAGGAGGGAGAACTGAGAAGACGGATTACGGTATTTTTTAGATCCTTCCTGGAGGAGGGAGAACTGAGAAGACGGATTACGGTATTTTTTAGAGGTAAGGCGCGAGAACAAAAACGTGACAGTGTGTGAACGGTAATAATGGACCCTCTTTTAAACTAGGAGCGACAGTGTTTCAACAAAGAGATAGGAAGATCGATGGTAGTGGCGGTGGATGATCCAAATAAACGATGAATAAGTTTCCATTTCTCAGAAAAGTGAGACTCAGAAAGCACGGTAACGGAAAAGGGAGCTTGCTTTAGGATGAAGATTAGACAGGTTGACGTGAGACCAAGGGAGGAGAGGAAAAGGAAAGGGCCCGAGTTATTATTACTAACGTTAGCCGCTGTACAGCAAGGTGGGAGAAGAGAGACGCCATCATGTTTCTTCTTAATCCTCGATCTTTCCTTCCTGCCTGGCCGGCCAGATGTGCGAGACCGGCCGCGTTTAGGTCCACAGTTAAGGGCTGGACAAACAGAACGGATAAAGAATTTCTCCAAAGCCAACAAATCCTGCTCGGATGATACGAAAATCGGAATTGCAACGTAAGAATTGATTCCTACCCTACGCAACCACCTATACAACTTCCTATTGCCCTTCCCACTTCCAAGCGGTAACGTGCATGCCACGTGCTCCTTCCACCTTTCCTTGACCGACCTCTTAGTGCACCCCACATATACATGTCGATACCAAGGCGATACTAGTGCGTAGACTATCGGACCAGGGCAAGAGGTAAAATCAAATTTCTTATTAACAAGCGCAACGACATAGTTAAAGAACTTATCGCACCACGGAATTTCTCCTTGCAGGATAAGCGGAATTACGACCACTCTATACACATACTGAAGGTGATCAGCCGACAAATCTTCCCAGAAATCTCGACAGAATAGGGCCAGTTCCCATAGCTGTGACACGCTCAGGGAGTCCCCTCACTCATCCCCAACGTCCTCATTGGAAGTTGTGTACTGCTGATCCCGATCTTCTTCATCCCGCGACTCTTTCTCCTTCAGCCATGCAGCATAGTCCCGACTGGCCCGGATTTCGGCCACGTCATCCCTGGCCTGATCTAACTTGATATACGTGATGCCTTCATCTTCACAGGCAGCTTCCATGTCCACCTTCTTGGCTTGCCGTAGCTCTTTCAATCGGATCTCTCGAAACCCCGCCATCTTCGCGACTTCCAGATCATGCGTCACATCGACTATATCACGTGTCTTCCCCTTCTCCTTGTCCTTGTCGGAATCTTTCCCCTCATCATCCGACATGACCTCAACCCCTTGGAAGCTGGTCCTGAGATTTCGCGGTGTTGTTTTTCTCACTGAAGCCCTTCGAGATGACAGACGTATACGCGAGGCACCCATTCTCGCCATGCGCTCCTTGCACATTTCCGCTTCCTTCACTGCGATCTCTTTCCCAGCCAAGGCATCCTTATAGGCCTTCCAAAGATCCTCCATATCCTTTGGTGTGTACATAGCCATGGTAGATGATTCTGCTCGCGGCTTGCCCTTCGCCGGTTCTTCGGGTGGGCTGCTTTCAGTCACCGCTCCTGCGCTCCTCTTACTCCTGAGGAGGATGAAGTCCTCTCGTAAGTCAGAAAATTCCTTCTTAAGATGACTATTCTCCGATTTCAGAGCAGAAACTTCAGCATTTTTTTGTTCCAGAGCAGTACGGAAAGCACTCAACTTTTTCACCTGCAGCTGTAGTGCCATAATTTCGTCCTGTTTCCCTTCAGTCACTGGCCCAAGTTCCTTTCTGCTCCTCAGTTCCGCTATTTCTTTGAGCAATCGCTCCTCCTCACCTTCTTGGTTTCTCATCCTTAATAGAGCCTCCTTCTCTTTTCGTAAAGCCTCCAATCGTGAGGCACTCGTCTCCACCGAACTCTTCGCCCGCAGGTCTTCCAGTTCCTTTCTTAGCTTAGTCACTTCACCATCCTCGTCCTCGGGAATGTCGACCTTCCTTCCGAGTGCCGATTCACAAACCGCCTTGACGCTTGTTCTGACTATCCTCCCTAGTCTAGCCTCCTGCTGCTCCCTTTCTTTGATCGCCTGTACTTTCTTCTCTTCCTCTGCCTGAAGTTTCTTTTTCTCTTCCTCAAGCAACTCCAACTTAGCAGCCTCCCTCTTCCGCTGCTCCCTCTCTTCTACTTGATCCGACAAGAGACCGTACAACCTGTCAATCTTCTCGTCCCGACCCCTTTCTCGATCCATGTATCCTCCGTTCCATTGCCTTGCATATCGCTGCCGATTATTATGACTTCCTCCAGAATTATAACTCCCGCCATAACCGCTATAGCCTTCACTATTACCATTATAGCTCCTGCTCTGTGGCCCTTGGTACGGGACGATAGCGTTCGAAGTTGAAGCGCTACTCCCCTGCTGTGGTGCCAGCAGAATGCCATTGGAGTCGTTCCTATTCGGCCCAGCCGCTCCGCCATCACGAATGCACGCCGCCATCTCCGCTCCGTTCAGCTGGTACCGGAAGGGACACTCCCTAATAAAATGGCCAGGCAGCTGACAGAAGTGACAGACACTCCCATACGCCATTCTGAGATCCTAGGGACTATCACGTCCCTCACCGACTGAGTTAATGGGCAGGAGCCCTACCACACTTGAAACCAGCGCTGAGTATATAAGGTGGGAAAGGAAAGAGCAAGAAGGAGAAGAGATCAGTAGGGTTGGAGGATGGCAAGGTGAATAGATCGTAGAAGTGAGACAGATGAAGACAAAATGAAAACAAAATGAAGACAAAATGAAGATAGGTGCGATCGCAGTCACACAAACGGGGTAAACATCCCCCGCCGGTTGTGTCGCAGTAGAGTAAAACTCAAGCAACATAGCAAGCCATGTGATAAACACATTAGGCCAAAGCAACGGGAGAGAAGGAAGAAGAAGAAGAAGAAGAAGAAGAAGAGGAAGAAAGAAAAAGAAAGGTAGACAGAAGAGACGAAGAGTTTTAGCGTAGTCCCCCGAGCGCGTCAGCTCGAAAAATCTTCAATAATAGCCGACAGGTACGAAAGCAGCACAGAGCGCCGAAGCGTGAAAGAACAGACTGGCGATTACCCTACACGTGTTTCGGGGGGTCCATTACCCTACACGTGTTTCGCAGGGTTGCAATGGGAAAAAAGGGGCCTTGTTGGTGCCTTCTCGGGTGATGCAAACTCGTGGCCGCAGTGAAGTGAGTGAAAAAGAGAAAAAGGACGTCGAGAAAAAAAGATCGCCTGCCAAAGCATACTGAAAATCCGGCTGGTAGAATTGCTCAGCCTCCTGCGGGAGTGAAACAAAAAAAACAAAGAGGCAGTTGCAATGGACAGCCAGCTCTATCAGAGGGAAGGAAGACAACAGCTGGACAAAGCAAGCAACTTGAACATGGTGCAGGTGTACACCACCCCAGCGAAAAAAGACAAACCGCCAGTACAGGGCCCCAGCCTTGTGGAGAAATCTTTCATCGCCTACGAAAACCTCGGGGCTATCGCACCACAATGGTTGGCGGCACCCGCCAAAAAAGAAAAAAGTGTGCCGCTGGCGGTTCGGCAAAGCTTGACACGCACTGGAAGGGCACCAGGCCCGGAGGCCAAGTTGAGAATCCCATTGAGCCTTTCAGAGGCTCGGGACAGGGCGTCCGAAAGGCCAGTAGAAAAAATAAAAACTGTCCCATGTCGTGGGGCGGCACTAGGCCGGGCCCTGCAAAAAAAAAAATAAAAAAAATTATGTCCGCCCCCAGGTGGGCCCTGTAGAAAACAGTGGAAAACATCACTGGTTCAAGAATCATACGAGACTTGAAAAAGCAAAGCCAAAGCGCACTTGTTCATTGCAGATAGGAAAAAGCAGACCACAGGATATGGCGTCCCCGACGCGTTTCGACGGCTGCCAGGCCGTCCTCATCAGGGGGTTGCCACCTTCGCACCCTCACTAGTCGAGCTTCCCCACTTAACCTCTCCCGTTCCTTCCCCATGGCTGGCTCCGGACACCAGCGGTGGTTCCGGAATGTTTAGTCCTGCAGGCTTAACAACTACACCCTCTTTGCTTATATGCCCAACACACACGGTACTTTCCTAGAAAACACTTGCTGCAAAACGCAGAAAACAAATTGCAGCCTACCTGGTGGTTCGCGGCAGTGAGCGGGCCACCCCTTCAGTCAAATTACACTACGGGTGTCCAAAAAAACTCTGAAAAACTACCACTAAAAATGGGCCACGAAATAAGGGTCTGCTCTCCGCACCGCTGGTAGCAGTTCGAAAACAGTCTGCTGACGAAGTAGGAACAATGGGCCAGGGCAAACAGACACTGAAAACTGGTCCGGAAAAACACGAAGCCTGGAAAAACAAACCCTGTCCGGATTAGACCCTGTCCGAATTCAAAAAAAATCAAAAACATCCGAAAAAGCCTAGGAAAACATACCCTGTCCGGATTAGACCCTGTCCGCATTCGAAAAATCCAGAAAAAAAACAAAGGCTAGGAAAACAAACCCTGTCCGGATTTATCAAAAAAGTCCGAAAACAACCCTTACTATGGGCCAGAACCCACTGGCAAAGAGGATGGGAATGAGTATCTGAATCTGGACGTCTTTGTGGCGAGGTGCAGAAAACTGTGATTGATCTGCTTTTCTGCATCTCTGCGTGGAACACGTCCAGATTCAGACACTTACTCCAATCGTCCTTGCCAGTGGGATCTGGCCCTATGTCACGGAGTTACTGTTCAACCAATCCTTTTTTTTTTGCGCAAGGCCTCTATCCTCGTGATGGTAAGAGAACCACTGGGATTGAGGTTTTGCCTGGCGCTCCATCTATTGGTGGGGAGCGTCACCTGCTGGAAACCGGGTCCAGCGTCCCTTAAGTAACACATTGACATACAGTACATCATTTGAAGCGACGCCATTGCTGGAAACCGGGTCCAGCGTCCCATAACAGTAAATTCAGCTAACCTTCCCCGCAGCCAGGCCGGGTCATGGGGGGGAGGCACTGGGGGGCACCAGTGTAATCTCCCTCCCATCCCTAGCCCCTGCCAATCGTCTAGCCTCCAGGCGTCTGTTGTATCCAGAACAACGTATCTAGTTGCTGAACCTCTACAGAAGGCAGGGGAAAAAACAGCAGAAAACAGGAAAAAAACAGAAGACAGGAAACAGACAGAAAACAAGAGATGATCCTACTGTTGTATCCAGAGCAATGTATCTGTCTACTGAACCTCTACTGAAGGCAGAAGAACCAGAGTTGATCCTGATAATCCTTTTTTGGCCCCATGTGCAAGCCTCAATCCTGGTGGTGGTAGGAGAACCACCAAGATTGAGGCTTTGCCTAGCGGGCCGCTCCATCTATTGGTGGGGAGCATCACCTGCTGGAAACCGGGTCCAGCTTCCCATGATAGCTTAATGAAGGGAGAGGCACCCGTGTGCTGGGAACCGGGTGCAGCGTCCCAAACCACGTTATCACTCCCTTACCTATCCCTTACCTCTCCCACCTATCCTGCAGCTGGGATCTCCCTCCATCCCTTAATCCCTGCCATCCACCCCCTATATCTAGGAATCAGAGGATGTATCTGGACATGTATGCATCCAGAATGTGTCTGCTGGAGACCAAGTCCAGCGTCCCTTGATAGCACAGTACCCCTGAACCCAGCAGACGTCTAACTGGGAGTTTGAACAGTACAGGGACTCAGCCATGCAGCCTGCTGAGTCGAAAAACAGTCTGCGAGCGACTATGAGCCCAGCAGCTAGCTCAAAACAACTGAAGGAACGGCTCTGAGTCAGGTAGCATGGAGATCTCTTATGTCCTGGGTGCTGTGTGTCTACTGGCGTCTCGGCTCATGTCACTGGTAATGCTTCCGCCAGGGACAGCGGGTGGGGGGGAAGGGGTCTGCAAAGTCCTGGGCTGGCTGTAGTGGGACGCCCGGGTCCACTTTAATCCAGTCATGGAAAATCAACTGGTAATCCCTTACCATTTCCTCCCGGGAATCAGCACTCCGGTTGTCTCCGGACCATTTTATCTCAGCCACCCATCCCTCCCTATCCCCCCCAAGCTAGTCTTTGCAGAATCTTGAGATAATCTTGTTCATGTCCCCCCAGGTATGCGACTGATCCAACTTCTCTTTAGTTGCTCTCCATTGGGTCGCAATTTCATAATGAACCAATGTTCGTATTTGCTCCATAGCTTCTCCGTCTTCTATCCGCACCCCCTCTATCTCCAAGATGCATCGCCTCCACCATATAGTCCATAGGACGCTCCGCCTACCTAATTTGAACATGTTTTCCACAAATGTGTTTCCCCGGATTGGAGGGTGATATCCCAAGAGTATGGCCCTCCAGTCCCAAGGCCATTCACATCAGGAGCAATGTGTCACCAAATCCTGTCCCAGCCTCTCCACAGTAGGACTGACGCACGACATTGGAGAAAAATATGTTCTATAGTCTCCGCCCGCCTCGTCCCAGGGAAGCTTTGCAGGCATTTGTGGCACCATGGCAGCGCTTTCCCTTGTTGCTCTAGACGCGTATGGTCTATCAACCAGTCATTGGTTGGTAGACACCTATGTTCAATTTGCCATTGGAGGGCTGAGATTTTGGCGGGTCTGTAACTATAGTGAGTGAACCATCGAATGGGCTTAAGCAGGCTACGGTCTATGTTAAGATGGCGATACCATCTATCTTCCACGCGGTCCCGCAGTCTGCATTTGGGTCTGAACATTCGGTAGGCGGATTTAGTTTTCAGATTGAGTAGTGCCAGTGTGTTATCCTCTCCTTTCCTGGCCGGGTTACGTTGGTTCCATCGCCACTCCTCCGAGTCAAAGGGGAGGTCCTCAATGGGGGTCATTGGGCAGTACACCCTCTAGTAGCATCCCTCCTCCATAACCCGGATGCGATACACATCCTTTTGTTATTTCCATATGAAGGGTTGCTGGTTTCCCTCTAGCCTGCCATCCTTTTGGATGGAGAAGACTTCTACTAACGCATGTCCTGGGCCTGTAAGGTGCACATGCCCGACCTCTTTCTCATGGTCGGGTAGCCCCACCCAATCTCCTTCCTTCAAACATGGGTCTTTTCTGAGGATGGCGTACCATTGGAGGGGGAGGCTCTCAATAAGGTCGTTGAGTGCCTTCTCAGTAAGATGGCAGTACCGCAGCCATGTACGCATCCTTTCTATGCTCTTCCAGTTTTTGGTCTCCTTGTCCCAAAGGTCCCCCACCCTCCGGACACCATGCTTTACCCAGCCTTTCCACGGGGCATCCGAGCTGTTCCGCACACGCCCTTCAGCATCTGTTAAGAGGGGTTGCCTGAAGATCTTTTCCCACCTCTCTGTCGATAGAAGTGGGGGAGGGAGTTTCCTCCAGGTACGTATCAAGTGCACCCATTGTTTGTCGGAAGGGTCCCCGTTCCTGTACTTCCTCGGCAACCTCCAATACCTATCTTCCAGCCAAATTCTAGGATCGATCTCAGGTGGGGTTTTCGGGGCTAGGTTAGAAATTTGTGCCAGGGCCAAGGGAACCCAAGGGGATGATGTGGAAAAAATAATACGTTGGAACCAGCGAGTCATGAGGGCTTGGA